ATCTCAGTTTCAAGTGATGGAATGTAAGGACTGTTTGTCTAATGAAACAAGAAGGATTTTTCCTGTTATGATTGATTGTTATTTCTACACATTGGCTAATTTGTCCATAACAGAGTTGACAAACAATACCATAAAGACATTCGGTTTTTTTTCATTAAAAGTAAAAAAAGGAAGTAACTTGTGTTTGGAAAGCACTGAATTATTAAAATTAAATATGTTTTCAATAAGATACTAAAAAAAAATATAGTTTTGTTCTTATTGTGAATATGCATAATTAAAAGTAAACCCTTTACAGTCTCAATGATGTCAGATTTTATTATTTTCCGCTGTGATGAGGACAATATCGGTGATCGCGCCAAGCCTCTCACTCGCACTTTATAACAATACCATTATAATTTGTGTTTTATTTTAGAATTGTATATTTAATTTTGTACTATTATTTTATAGCTACTTATAATTTCTCATTTTTATCTTACTCTGTTCTGAATAGATACAATTTAAAGGATTTGCTGACAAATTATAGGTGACTAAGGTTATATTGATTTATTATTTTTTTTATATATTTTTTTTGACTAATAGATGTGTTTTAGAATTTTTATCCATGCAGTAAAAGTTTCAAAAATAGCTTTGGAGGGAAAAAAGGTCAATTGTACGTAAATTGTGCGAGCAATATTTGATCTAAAGATCAGATGCTCCCTTCAAAAGAAATCAGGACAGAAGTGGTCGAAAGTGGACAGAAGAGTGTGAAACACCAGGTGTGATCGGGAATCTGTTCCCCTCGTCTACTTGTAATCCGATTGACAAAAATGCATCTTAATACCAGGTGTAGCCTAAACAGGGCCTTTGAGACAGCAAAAATTACTAGCTAAATGAAAGGAGCCCTGTCTGATTGAAAACTGACTATTTCATCTAAAATGTGTTTTTTATGTTTTGTTTTTTGTGCTTATTATCAGAGGACTATTCTGGTGTTAGCTTATAAAAATACATAATAAACCCTTGCATTTTTAGTCAGTTTCTATCAGCTCTGAGGTCATATGCTAGTGCACTCCTAAATTTGACAAACAAATCATGCTTTGCAGATGTGAGTTAAACTAAAGGCTCTTGGCTATTATTTCCTTCTATAGGTCAAAGAGAACCAAGAGGGGCCTCAGGAAGTGAATGCTGTGTGGAAAGACAAACTCGACTCTGCACAAACCCACAGAGATCATGTCCAGGAGAGCTGCGTATACTACTTTACAGATTCTGTTGCTTTTATTTAGTCCTCACTGAATAAACACTTTAGATTTTGACTGAACAAAACGAATAAAAATGAGAAAATTAAGTAGCAAAAATGATTTTGTTAACTTGTGTAGGCCTACACAACTTTTAATAAAAATTGCATAAATGCATGAGTGAAACAAAATATTCAACAAGATACAATGTAGGCCGGACTTGATTGTATCCATCAGCAATCCATCAAATGTGTGTGTGTGTATTTTGAACGACAGTGTATACCTATAGGCTACGGGTGCTGTCCGACTGGACCGATTCTGACCGCAGTGGTGGACCGTTTGGACCAAAAAATGTCCAGTCCAGCCCTGCTCCATATGCAGCCAGAACGAATGCAAATTTGCTAAAACAATGTTCAGAACCTAACCACTCACTACATGAGCTTCACGTTGTACGTTAAATTCAGTAAGTGCTGCCCAATATTCTTACTCTTATTCCATGGTCTGTCTGAATACTGGATTCTGATTGGCTGGCGGGGATGCCGTAAATCCGTTTAATGCACAGGTAGTTCCAAGTCAGTTTAATCACCGTTCCATATTAATGCGCATCTCTCTCTCTCTCTCGATCAATAATTAATTGAAATACATGCTATAATTCATTCAAATAAATGTGATCTTACTGCACTATTTCATCTCTGTGTATGATTTGAAGCGGGCAGAATACTAGAGCTAACGTGCCGTAACTGAGGAAAATAACTGTCATTTTTACCCATTCGGTCAAATATTGTACTGGATTCTGATTGGCTGGCGGGTATGCAGTAAATCCGTTTAATGCGCAGGTAGTTCCAAGTCAGTTTAATCACCGTTCCATATTAATGCGCATCTCTCTCTCTCTCTCGATCAATAATTAATTGAAATACATGCTATAATTCATTCAAATAAATGTGATCTTACTGCACTATTTCATCTCTGTGTATGATTTGAAGCGGGCAGAATACTAGAGCTAACGTGCCGTAACTGAGGAAAATAACTGTCGTTTTTACCCATTCGGTCAAATATTGCGCTGCAAAGAGCAATACTAGTTTTAACTTGTCTATAACTTGGCAAATGACCATGGAATAAGCGGGATAATCAACGGCTAGCCGTGCATCAAAGGATTTTAAATGCACTTCGAGGAGGCGATTTAAAATCCTTTAATGCATGGCTAGCCGTTGATTATCCCTTACATAAAAAGCTTACTTGCATTTGAAACCTTCATATAAACACATTAGGCTACATAATTATTGTATGAAAGGAATCTTTTTATGATACACAATAACACACACCCAACTGCTCTCCGTTAATGTCCCCTCAGGCCTTTCTGTAGTTTTAGGGTCAAAGAGGTCAGTAGACATTTTCCCACAAGTGGAGATGCATTTTAAACACAATCCAGTCAAAGTAACAAAATAAAATAGTACTCACATAGTACAATATCACACACATTAAGCAAATAGTATACAGAAAAGGTTTGGCTTATAAAAAGGGATGTCAATCAAAATATCATATTACTGTATATCTGGACAACAATTAATTTTGCATTTACTGAATTTAAACATTGATTCAGAAGCTTTTTGTTTACCTCTTTACAACATTAGAACTAACATGGTTTCAACATTTGTTTCAACATTAATACAACAACTAATATTATTTCAACCCCATTTCAACATTGAAGGTCAGTTACGTGCCAGCTGTGAAGGGTCTTAAAAGTTTTTGCTGGTTCTCATTCCTAACTCTACCGCAGAACAACTTAAGGGTCATTGAGAAGAAAAAAAGTAGTGCAGTTAATATATTTAAGCTTTTAATAACTGCTACATAAAAGCACATTTAGAAACCAACAACTATACAGGCACCAAAATCCAAAAGCTTTAGCCAACGTGTATTACGATCCCCAAAATGCCTAATATGTTTGAATATACAGCACAGCAGGACAGGGGAAGGAAAACAGCAGCAGCAGAAGAAGAGTGGAATTATTACTCTGTAGGGACCAGTAGTGCAAGTTTGTCAAGCCTAAGTGTACAAACTCTTTCCAATGATAAATGTGCATATCTGAGTATTAGGCACTAAACAGGCCTGTACTAAAAGTATAGAGAGCCACATAATCCATAAATCCCAGAAAGAGGGATTTTACCATAAAAATGGGCGACTGATTACTCAATTTCTCCACCAGTGGATGTCAAGCTAAAAAATGACAGAAAAGCGCCATAAAATATAATAAAAAACATCTATGTGACTTGTGTGCTAAATTCCAGATCGGTCCAATTCACGAATGAATCAATCTCTGTGTGTAAACTGCTTCATTGAAAAGATCTGAGAGGATATTTAGTGAATGACAACTTTTGTTAAATTTTTGGTCTGTCGTTTACACAATGCACCTGGTATATAGCATCACGCAAATACTTTTATGATTTTTGTGGGGCTTTTTTTTTGTCATTTTAGCCCACATTACAGTGAGAGCGTAATACTTCTTTAGCAACTTTTTTGGCAAAAAAAAATCTACAATATGTCCTGTATATACCCATAATGTCCTGCAATATACAGTGGAGATCAAAATTAGAGAACCTACAATTTCCTAAATTTCAAGGTCACTGCTTAGTCCTAACAGGAGTAGAAGGGCAGTTTTTTTAAGCATATTTCATAAATTAATTGTATTCTGAAGCACAGTATAAAAAATGAGATATTTGAAAAAGAACTCCTGGTGCTAATTTCCTTAATTATATAACAAACCCTATTTAACTGTCAGCATTCCTCCAATATTCACTGAGATTGCAACATGGCTGCTCTAAGCCACTCTAAGATGACTGAAACCCTGCGACAGGAGGTGATCCAGATGAAGGCCAAGACAAGAGAAGCTAGTCATTACAAATCTGTGATTTCTAGAATATTGCAGTTTTACAATGACACTAATTCATTCAAGTTCCCCAAAAAGGCTGGTCGTCCACGAAAGACAAATGCACGAGAGGACAGTATAATGCAAAGACTCTCAATAGGGAATCGGTTCAACACTGCAGCTGGAATTGCTCGGCACCAAGATCACACCAGCGCAGTTTGAGAAACTAGAGAAGTCCTGCAGCTGCAGACAGGGCCGGATTTACGCATAGGCATTCTAGGCACGTGCATATGTTCGCTCGTCCAGGGGGGCCCAAACACAATGAAGAGATATATAATATTTTCCCATGAGCATAACATATATAATATATTCCTAGTCTCTCTCACAGACGCACACACAGTTCAGACACGCACTCGCGAACAGAGCCGACCGATCCTAGACTTCTGGG